AGAAATAATATTCCAAGTTATGGCTGGCTAACAATCCTGTTGAATTCGTCAATCGACTCGACTTATTAATTTATCTGGGTTATTAACCTGCAAGGACAATAATACTTGTAGAAATTCGACGACTTCTACTCGCTTAATCAATTTACTCTAACCCCTATATTCCTATGAGATTAGAGATAAAAAAAAACATTACAATTTCTTGCACAATTGGCTAAGCACGGCAAATAGGTATATTTCTATCCGTATTCGCAAATCAATTCCCCAATGACTAGGTTCAAGATCGCCTTTATTCAATCCTATTGCAATCAAGAATTACCTCTTTCAAGTTCAACTCAAGATTCATATATAGTATTTTCCTATTAGTTAGGCAGTTAAATAATTAAACTCAGGATATGAATAAACAACCCAATATGATAAACTAACTCATCAAATCATTATTCGAATATCAACATTCATGTAAAATCATAACCCCAGAACAAGTGAGTTTATCCACTCATAGTCATTGTAGAAATCTCAAATAATTCCCAAGAATACATATAAATCAGTTAAAGAAGGAAAAAGTAAGAACTCAAGACAAATTTCGTGGTTTTCAAACTCTATGATGGCTTTTCTCCGCTTGCCCGTGTGTTCAATGACCTAAAAGAGGCATTTTTGGCTAATATATTGCATACAAAAGTTGTGGGCCAAAGTTTTCCTTTTACTATTCCGAATAAGCTTTAGGGATTGATGTTGGGGTGGATGCTTCGCGTCCGCCTCTGATTGAACTTCTCAGCATCGGATGCTGGGGTGGATGCTCGCGTCCACCCTCTGTTCCTGCGCCCAGGCGCGGATGCTAAGGTGGATGCCTTCTCCCGACTTCACTGCCAAGGATGAACCCAATACCCTTTTTCCCTAGGTTGGATGCGACACATCCACCTTCTTGTCCTATAGTTGGAGTATCTGTTCTTCATATTTTTGCATTCCAAACATCCTAGATCATCACACACAACTTAATTAGTCATAAAACCAATAATTAACACATGTTGGGCATTTTAAAGATCAAATAGCACCAAAAAGCAATTAAAACATGAGCGTAACATTAAAATATATAGAAATATGCCCAACATCACCGACTACGAAGAAGAAGGAGGAGGAGGAGGAGGAGGAGGAGAAGGAAAAAGCCTAATCAAATTGTCTGTACTTTGGGTATTAATTAATTTTTTTTTAAACTGGGTACAAATTAAATGGGGGGACCAAATATGACGTCCTGTGAAATTTTTACCTTTAGCCTGTTTAAATGTAATTCTACTCGTCCATTTGACCCCCTAAATAGAATAAATTAGGAAAATTTTGATAAAGAATTAGGAGCTATAAGCTAATTTATTTTGAAAATTTTAAGGGAAGGCGACATGGCGCTTTGCCTTTTCCCTAAATCCACCTCTGCTTTAGCTATGAACACGAACTTAAACCCCCAAGTTCCAAAAGCAGCTCATACTAAAATGAAGTTCTTTCTTCCTTCTTCACCCCGCAAAAAAATTATTCGATTCACATATATGCACTAATTTAGTACATGTAATCAATTATATAATAAAATAATACAATAACATATATATATATATATATATATATATATATATATATATATATATATATATATATATGATTAAATAATAAATGTACTATTTGCGTTGCTTATCGTATGGTGCGTGCATCAAATGCGGGAAAATATTTTTCGTCCTAACCCATTCGGGAAGATCTAGCATTATTAACATGAGTTCATTAGCACCCATAAATTAGCTTAGACTTGAATTTATCTGTGCAAAATTCATTAAAATTGCTGAAAATATTACATTACGAACTCAAAGCTCAACTAAGGTGATGGGTCCAATGGTTGGAAAACCCTTAATTTATAGACTTAATAACTTGAATCATGATAATTTTTCTATAGTGATGTTCTAATATTGAGAGTCAAACATCTTAATTTTGATCATAAATTCGGATATAGAATCTTTAAACTTTTTGAAATAAAATTTACATATTTGAGAACCACATGAAAAATGTTATAAGTTCCAATAATAAACAATTTAAAATATTTAAAATACATGAAAAAATCCCCGAAAAAAATAACTTTTAACTTTTTAAATTCAAACACCGCCCATAAATTAGGACATAAAAAGTATATATTAAACCTTTATATTTTCTACTATAAAAGATAACGAGTACAATAAACTTCGCATTTACAAAAGACACTAAATCCGTTGCAGCAAAAAGAACAATTAAGAAAACATAACAGAAAAAGGAAAGAAAGGAAAAGCACGTACGTAGCCTCCTCCCCCTCCAAAGAAAAAAAAAGACAGGAAGAAATCAAGGTAAAACGGAACAAAGTGTGCTTTTGGTAAGAAGCAGTTTGTGTTTGACTAATTAATTTAAATTTTTTTTGAGCAGTAATTAGTGTTTGGCCAAACTTTTAAAAACTGTTTCTAAGGCCTCATTTGTTTTTTTTAAGATTAAGACGTCTGAATCTGAATACACATCTGAATATTAAGATTAAGACATCTGAATCTGTATATTAAGATGTGTCTTAAGATATGAATAGAAATAATTAAGACTGTTTGATTTTTAACATCTGAATGTATAAAATTTATCTTTATTTGAAAATTAATAAACATAAAATTCAAATAAAATACTAACTAATCTAATATTCTATCAATAAAATATATAGTTATTTAAAATATGTTAGTTGTTGGTGGTGATGGCTAATGGGTGAATGCCGACTAGAGGCGATGGTTGATGGTAGTTTTGGTTGATGATGATGGTTCATGCTAGTAGCTAGTAGTGATTGGTAGTGGTAACGAATATGATTGAGGATGATGGTGGTGGGTGGTTATAGTTAATAATGGCGGGCGGTGGTAGTAGTTGTGACTGAGGAAGGTGGTGGGTGGGTGGGTGGGTGGTGGTAGGTTATAATGATGGGCAGTGCCGGCTATGGTTATTGATGGTGATGGGGTGGTCAGTTGTGGTAGTTGAGGTGGATGAGTGTTGATTGTGAGTGAGAATGATGGTGGTCGGAGTGGTGGGGATAGTAGGTGGTGATGGTCGATAATGGTGGCGTCTATGATTGAGGATGATGGTGGCGTGGTGGTGGGGGTGGTGGTGGCGGAAGTGGTGGTGGTGGGGCTGGGGGTGGTGGTTGAGTATGGTGGTGGCATGGTGGTGGTTGATAATGGTAGGCGGTAGCGGCAGTTAATAATGAATATGTGATAGCATCTTAATGAAATTAAGTCTCTGTTATAGATCTTAATCATACAGACCTATTCAAACGCATTAAGTGGTTGTGAAGTAAAAAAAACAAACACACTTAATGATTAAGATCTGAATAATTAAGATTCATACTTTAAAAACAAACGCACTCAATGTCTGAGATCTGAATGATTAAGATTCAGACCTCCATTAAGTGCAAACAAATGAGGCCTAAGTGTATTTTTCGCAAAAGTGCTTCTCAAAAAAGTGCTTTTGGAGAGAAACTACTTTTGGAGAGAAACTACTTTTTTCTACTTCTCAAAAACTACTTCTGCTTCTCCTCAAAAACACTTTTTTCTTCCTTCCAAAAGCTTGACCAAACACCTCAATTTTGTGCTTTGGCCCAAAAAAGCACTTTTGGTCCAAAAAAAACTTGGCCAAACAGGCTATAATTTAAAAGTTGAAGTACGAAATCAAAATTATTTAAAATTTTATTTTTGTTAGTTTATTTTAATCATATTTACATAGGATTTCTATTCAGAATTATATGCGAATAGATTTTTCAGTTTTTAATTAAAATGGATTTCGTACATTATAAATAAAGTTGTTATTAAACTATTTTATGTGTAGAGAATTTGAAAAGAGATTTCATAAATCTATAATAAAATAATTGTCCTTCCATCGCCCATGCTTAAAAACGTTTAAAAAGCAAAAAAGGACAGTAGAAAAAGAACATTTTCCAGCCGCGTAGTCTGCAGTCCAAAACCCATATAAAAACCTCCCTTTTCCTTTGTTATTCACACCATTCCGCCCATTTATACAATTTCATATAGTTTCTCCGCAGAAGAAATTTCAGCAACATACAACTGAATTTTATCATCAGCGTTAATGGTAATTTTTCTTCTTCTTCTTCTCTCTTTCTTTATATTATCTTTTAAATTTCAGATTTTAATTTAAAGAACCATTTTACTGTTTAAAATTGATGTATGTAAATTCAAGAAAACAAAAGAAACCCCATTAGAAATTTGATACTCCGGCGTCTTATTTGATTTCCACTAGATTTTTCCGGCGAATACTCCGGCGGGGACCCCATTTGACTTCGCGCGGTTAAAGATATATTCTCATTCTCTTATCCTTCTTGTTTTTATTTCCCTTTTGTTATTTTTGGAGTTCTCATTCTGGCAAAAAGAAAATAAAGTTGTAGTAAAGAGAAGTACAAGCAACGTTGGTATATATAATTTTAATAATTCATAATTATTCCTTTTTTTCTTTCCTTTGGAGTTAGGCTATAGTTACACATAAATATATAGTAGCTGTCACGTTTGAGAGCTTATATTTTTTTATTGAAAATATTTATCAAATATTGTCAGAGGAATTCATGCGGTCATAGACGTAGTAATCTATGTTACTTTTTTCTTTGCCATTGTTGATTAATGTTTAGATAGAAAAAAAAAAAAAAGTTTTTACAAAGTTATTTTACTCCAAAATATTACTATATGCGAATAGATATAGATAAATTATGACAGAAATGGTCCCCTATGTTTGGGAGTAAATTTTAAATAGTCCCTTAAATATAATCCTAAGTGATTTTAATTCTTTAAATTTATTAAAAATAAATATTTTTAATCTCCATCAAATATTTAATAGATTTTGGCAGTTTTTTTTTCTTCTGTCAAAAGGTTTTTTTTTTTTGCAACTGAAAGTGTGAACAGTTTTTTTCCCTTATCCTGTTTTGGTTTTTTTTTTTTTTGGGGGGCGCACGTCTTTATAATTTCTTTTTGTTTGGAAAGAAAAGTTTGATTCACTTTTTTGATTTAAAAAAGTTTTATATCTCTTTACTTATTGGCGGTGCTGAAATGCTTTAATTAGCTGAATTATTGCGCAATTTGTCAAGAAAAGCTCAAATTTCAATATTGGAGAATCTAAATATGTTTCGTGAAAATAAAGGAAGTGTTTACAATTGCTTTATAGAATGAGGAAAACTGCTTTTCCATAAGTACAAACGTAAAGATGAAGTAATCCCAAGATTAATTGTTCCACTTTTCCACGGAGATAAAAAAATATAGTACTATAATTCGGGATAACTAATTTCGGAATTAATTATATAGTAATTTTCTCCCCAAACAAACATGAGATAAACTCTTTTTAAATTTAATTCTGAAATTAATTATTCTTTATCGCTCGTACTAAATGAGCGCTTAGTTATCTAGAAATTAAGAATTGCTGAGTAATGATTGATAATAATAGTCGGCGTAGCCAAAATCATGCAGTTATAGAGTAAGGTACAAGTACTAAAGGCCAATACATCTTATTCAAAGATTTTAAATTGAAATAGCTTCAGCTCGGACAATGATAATAATTATAATATTATGTAGTACAGTAAATGTTATGCTTCCAAAGTCGAAATTAGTGATATTTTAGATTTGCTTATTTTGTGGATATTTTCTCCAGCTATCTAGCTCTTCTACATATCTCCTTTTTGGACATAATTGATTATCTTTCGGCATGGTCGCACGTAATCTTTCTTCCCAAACGAGTCCTTTTATTTATTTGAAAGATGGGCATTGCATTCGGTCCGAAAGGCATGATTTTCAAAAATACCTTTATGCTGACACACAAACGTATTATTTAACTCAGATAGTTAAAACTTGAATTTGGAAAAGATAAAATAAAAAATAGTGATCCCTTCTTGTGGCTACAAGGAACTTTTCTCGTTTTTATCTCTTGGATGTATCTTTTTACTAGATTAAAAAAAATGTTTACATTGTTAATGACGTTCAATACTTTTACTTTTAACAATAGGTTAGGCATTAGTTATTCTTTGTGGTGGAGTTGGTAGTAGTAGTAAGTAGTAAATTAAAATTGAGATGCAAACAAAGAAGCAAGATTCTACTTTCTCTATATTTCTTATCTTTACTATTTGGCCTTTTGTTACATTATTTTGCATTTTTCTTGTTTTCTGTGTTGGCTTTTTCTATGAGGAAACTTGCACTAATGCATATGTCATTTTTCAAATGCTAGAGAACTTAGCTTGAGTATTATTTGGAAAAAAACAATTGCAATATTGTGATTATATGATTTGTCATTTCTCAAGTTTAAAGCCATTTTTTACGGATGATTGTTTGTGATTATATTGTTTAAGTAAACTAATAGTATATAAATTCTTTTAATTGTCAGTATATAAAAGTTAAGCTCTAGTCACAAACAATAATGAGAGCGGTTTTAGAAGAGTTTAACTTCTATATATCACCAAAATAAGAATTATAAGGCATGTAAATTACATTAAATTTAAAAATATATATATCATCGATGCATATAATTTATATTCTTATTAGGCGTAATGGCTTCCTGGCCACTTAAACTTGTAGGGCTTTTGAAAGCCGATACATGAACTTTGAATTTTCCCATTTGAACACTCAAACTTGAAAAAAAAGAGTACTAATAAACATTTTTGACCGTGGAAGCACTAAAATTGTATGGGTTTGGTACAGGTCTCAGAAGGAGAAGTGGGGCCAAGGGTAGTTCTAACAGCACCTTTATCATTGGAGGGGGAATCAGATGCTTCTGATTACAAAGCTCCTAATCTGCTACAGCGCATTCTAAGCCTCTTGAGTAATGTAGGGCCAGGATCTGATCTCACCCGTATTCAGGCACGTATTATATTTACCTTTTATCTCATATATGTATTTTGGATTGGTCTCTTAACCGATCATTTGTTTTTATTATTTATAAATGTAATTTCAGCTACCTCCATTATTCAACCTCCCAAAGTCACAGCTACAATGCTATGGGGAATCAGTATACTGCATAAACAAAGACATGTTAAGCAAGTGTGGGAAAGGGGAAACTTCAGTTGAAAGAATGACAGCAGTGGTGGGTTGGAGCATATCCACATTGCGCCCTTTGATGTTTGGTGTGGCTCCTTATAATCCCATTCTTGGTGAGACTCACCATGTCTCTACAGACTCTCTCAATGTCCTCTTGGAACAGGTAAAATTAATTGCCAAGGGTGAAGGTTTTATGCACTTGCACAAGTGTTTCAAATTCTGTCTCATAAATTGAAAGAAAAAACATACTCAACTTTTTATTGAAAAATCTAACTTAGGTGTTTTATCATCTTAGGTTTCCCATCATCCACCGGTGACTGCTCTTCATGCAACTGATGAGAAAGAGAACATTGAAATGATATGGTGCCATAATCCTGTCCCAAAATTCTATGGTACTATTATTACTCGCTCTGTTCTAATTTATGTGACATTTTAGTAAACAATTATTTTTTATTCGACGATTTTCCATTGATTTTGATTTCAATTATGTCAGGTACAAAAATAGAAACTGAGGTGCATGGAAAAAGGGAATTGAAGCTTTTAAATAGGCAAGAAACTTATGTGATGAACTCACCAAAGCTAGTAATCAGACTTCTCCCATTTCCTGGTGTTGATTGGGTGGGAAATGTAACAATTAAGTGTGAAGAAACTGGTCTTCAAGCTGATTTATATTACAAAGGAAGTTCTTTCTTAAGCAACAGTGGAAATAGATCTGTTATAGGCAAGATTTTTATGCCTTCATCTTCAAAGACAATTTGTGAGATCAATGGTCATTGGGACAGGTAAACTTGCCCTAATAACTTATCTTGCTCGAACTCTTCGAAAAATATCACCGGGTGCATATCAGGCCTTCCAAAAGTAGTGTATTTTTTAGGATCCGACACAAATATTGTAACATTTTTGAAGAGTTCGAGCAATATAGCTTATAACTAGACATTCCCTTCCTTTTTTTCTGCATTAATTTTCTTAAGCATTTAGAGAAATAAAAGAAAGAAAAGGATGTGTTGTAAATGATTTAATGTTGAATTTTAATTTTTGCAAAAGCAAGGTGTTCCAGAAAGATTTTTTAGAAGCTAGTAGAGATTTTTTTAACCAAATGAGATTTTGAAGCACCAAACATGTTAATTTTATTGTTTTAGTTTCATTTTTAAATTTTTTTTTTGTTTACTGTCCAAAGAACTGTTACAGTTAAGGATATATCTACTGGAAAAGTCAATGTGATTTACAATGCAAAGGAAGCACTGTCTGGAATGAAGACTCCTATTGTGAAAGATCCAAAGGTATATATATTTCTTCGACATTTTTTCTACCCTCGAAAGGGAGCTTTGAAGCAACAGTAAAGTTGACTTCGTGCCTATAGGTCACGGGTTCGAGCCGTGAAAGCATCCACTAATGCTTGTATTAGGGTAAGCTGTCTACATCACACCCCTTGTGGTGCGGTCTTTCTCCGGACCCTGTATCAATGCAGAATATTTTGTACACCAAACTGTCTTTTTTTCTTCATTTTAGTATTAACTATTTTGTGGAATTTATTAGGTTGTTATGCCAAGTGAATCAACAGTTGTATGGGCAGAGCTAAGTCAAGCAATCCTAAGTAGAAATTGGGATAAAGCAAAGCAAGCAAAGACAATAGTAGAGGAAAGGGAAAGAGAACTTGCAAAAGAAAGAAAGTCCAAATCTGAAATTTGGGTTCCAAAACATTTTACAATATCCTATAGTAAAGAGTCAGGGTGGGAACCCACACCCAATGAGAAGTGGGTCCCTCCAGCTCCAATTATTGTTCCTACTTGATCAATATGTAACGTGGGAAAATCAAATTTAGGTCATTTTCCTACATTAAATTCATATGTTTATTTGTATGTAGGTGTAGTTATGTAAATTATAAATTGTCAATCAGTTGGCTCTACTTGTCTCCCTCTTAGTTGTAATGTAATCTGAGCTGATAATTAAAGGAGTTAAATTTTGGAATAGAAAGTGCTGACTTTAAAGGGCTTATCCATTCTAAGATAAAATAGCTGGATGTGGATGAATGAAACAGAAAATCTACTGAAAGCGATTTTTTTTTTTCTCTATTGACTTTTTCTAAATTTGCTTGCAATAGTTAATGAAATAGTTGACGTTTTCAAGTGTGTGTATATATACATATATATATGCTAGCGAATGCAATTGGTTTCGACCCACCGGTCAATTTTATAATTTTTTTCTTAATATAAGAATGATCCAACCCACCCTAATCTAATACCCATATATATAAATTAAAATAATACTAAAAGTGAATTGTTCCCCCTCCTCGCTTCTCCAAAAGAAATTTAGTTTAGAATGCATGGGATTATGATAAAAAAAGCATGGATGTTTAGAAAGCTCTTGAAATAACAATACCATTAATTTGAGTGAAAATCTTGAAAAGAAAAATAAAACACGCAAGTATTGTGGTTTGGAGTTTATGCGTCTGAAATTATAATATTTTTTAAGTTATTGGGTTTTAAATTAATAATTTATACATATAAATGAATTTATTAAGACAAATACCAGATTTGGACCAAAGTGACTTGGTTCGGCCGAACCCATACCATCAATGCTAGCTCCGCCCCTGGGTGGGGTCGAGTTGAGTCATTCTTATTTTAATTGGATTATTATTTATTAGAGAAAAAATAAAATAGAAATCAAATAAGAAAATATTATTGAAAAATTGTGTTTTCCGGTCATTGTAATTTTTGTATGAGTTAGTGAAAATTATGATTTTTATATGAGAAAAAATATAGTTATATGACTTTGGTAAAAAAAAAATCATAGTTATATGACCATTTTTAAAATTTACCCGTAAGAGTGGTGAGCAACGGAGAAGTAGCCTATTGTTAATAGGGAAAAAGGCCAAAATTGTCCCTATACTATCGAAAATTAGTCACGTTTATACCTGTTTCTACTTTCGAGTCCAAATATACGCCTACCGTTAGTAAAGTATACAACATCGTCCCTCCCTAACAGATTTCCAACGTGACAGTAGGACCCCTCACTTAATGTGCCAACTGGGCAATACCAACCCGAATTGTAGAGACCCATGCCCATTTTTTTGACCCTCCCTTCCGGTTTATACTCATTTCTCTTTACAAACTCATACCCGACCACTCCCTCAACTGTTTATTCTTTATTCTTTTATTTTTTCCTTTTACATCCTTCTCTTAGCTCAATTCTATTCAAAATCAGAAATCCAAGCAAACTTTTTGGCAAAATGAATGACAAGAAATTCGTCACTGGAGCTCTAATTTTCCAGATTCAAGGCACAAAGATTTAACCATTTCTATCTCGTCTTTCTGATTTTTGTACAGATCTATGTGTGTGTATGTTTTTCCCAATCTTCTATTTTTGGGGCCAATGGTGCTCGCCGGCGTTTTTATTTTTTGACCAGGATTTGAATATGGGTAGGCAAAGAAGGTGAATTGTGGTTAAAGAGTTTTTGAGTCAAGTGGCTTCCGGTGGTGTTCAAACATATCTGATTTCTAGTGGTGGTCGATATTTTTTGGTAGGTGGCAGGCGAATATAGTAGGAGGGAGAGATAAATTGTTTCTAGAGGTTAGCCGTTGATATCGCCAACACCGGCAGATGGACCATTTTTTCCGGTAAAATGTTCCACTATAACGGTGGAGGGCAACTGGGCAGGGAGAGAAAGGGAAGGGATTCTGATGGGGGAAAGGGGATAGGGAAAAAAGATAAGAGGAAAAAAGAAATAATAATTTAGAATGAAAAAGAAATATTAACAAAAAAAGGTAATGCGTGGGTTATTTAATTACGTGGCATTTTTTTTATTATTGTGGGGTCCTTTGCCACAGTGGACAACCGTTAGGGTTGGGGCTATTTTTATCTACTTTCTTAATGGTAGGGACTTATTTGGACCGATAGTAGAACTAGGTATAAATGTGGACAATTTATTAAAGTAGAAGGACAAATCTGGACTTTTTCCCTTGTTAATATCTTCCTACTTCAAAGAAGACAGCATATTTGTTTACTTCTTAGTAGTTCTTGAACTTTGTTTTAGAACTAAAACGCTGCCCAGCAGAGGTGGGTCTTCAGTTTTTGTAGAACCAGGTATTAGAGTTAGGGCTGGGTCTTCAGTTTTTGTAGTGCCACGCGTCTCTCTGTTAAAATTAGAGATAAATTTGAGCAATAACATAACGGTAGGGGCAACTGTGGACTGGTACTCAAATAGAGAGTAATTTTAAACTATTTTCGATAGTACATGTATATATTTGATTCTTTTCCGTAAAATCTGCTCAGAGCGAGGGTTCATAACGCTTATAACACCTTGATTAGTATTAACTATGACTTTTTTTAATATTAAGGATATAGCTAGAAACAACTAACAAATTTAGTTTTGAATTCCTAAAATGACAATTATTTTGGGATAATTTTATTGAGCTAAAGCGACGGTTAAAAGGAGACGGAAGGAATATAAGATATTATCGGAATTGGAGTACGTAAATTTATTGTATTGTTTATATCGAAATAAAATGCCAATCAAACATAGTATAAAATAATTTTGAATTATGTATAAATAATATTATTGGATTTGAGAATATAAACTTACGATATAATGAACATTTTTGCACTATCAGTGAACTTAACATGTTATAATAGATTAATTATCTTTTTTTTTTTTGGTAACTAATTTTTATTACCAGGGAAATATTTACAAGTATAACAAAAACCCTATCAACTATCCGCCTAGGTTTGGACATGCAGCCCCAAACCTAGGATCATCAAAACTAAGTAACACTATTTCTAGGTATAGACAAGCTGAGAGCCCGTTTGGGTGGGATTATTTTAAGTGACTTTTAAGCCAAAATAACTTATAAGCCATAAGTTAGGAATTCTAGCTTTTGGCTTTTGGCTTGTTTGTCATTTTAGCTTAAAAATAAGTGTTTAAAAATACTTTTTTACTCTATCCAAACACTACAAAATGGCTTAAAAGTTATTTTGGCTTAAAAATACTTAAAATAAGCCAATCCAAACGGGCACTAAGGGTAATCTCAATTATCTTTTATTTTAAATTATCAATCAAGGCTGTTAAATGAAATTATCTATCATTATTTTAAATAAACTGATTATGTAAATATGTTTTCAATGTACTTTTCTAGTCCGGATAATAAATTGACTTAAAAAAAGAACAGTTCGGTACATAAGATATCCCGTGTTCATGCAGGGGTGGGGGAAGGACCATACCTAAAAGGTGTGATGTGCCTTATAGCTCTAGGTGAATGCCCTTTTAGAAATCCACAAGTCTAACATTGATTGTATGTATAATGGACAACCTAGTCTAATGCAAGTAGTAATGACCGTATAAATCAACCTCACAATATCGCAAATAAGTCAGGTTGTCCTTGGGACCCAATGAGAGGTGGGTCCTTCCAACTTTAAGTATTGTGAGGGTAAATGATAGGTTGATGAGTATTAAGCTGGTAGTTGGTGGGTTTATCGTAAACGTGATTAGTGCACACGCTCCTCAGGTAGGTTTGGACCAGGAGGTCAAGAAGCAATTCTGGGAGGATTTGGGCGAGATGATGCGCAGTATCCCGCACACAGAGAAGTTGTTCATCCGTGGAGATTTCAATGGCCATATTAGGGCTAGTGCTAGGGGTTATGATGATGTGCATGGCGGATTCGGTTTTGGGGATAGGAATGAGGGAGGTAATTCACTGTTGGATTTTGCTAGAGCTTTTGATTTGGTTATAGCTAACTCGAGTTTTCCGAAGATGGAAGAGCACCTGGTCACTTTTCGGAATTCAATGGGCAAAACTCAGATTGATTATCTTCTATGCAGGAAATGCGATAAAGGTTTGTGCATTGACTGCAAGGTCATCCCAAGTGAGCACCTCACGACCCAACATAGGCTCCAGTTATGGACCTGGAGATTAAGAGGAGTAGGAGGAAGAGGGCAGGGTGCAGGCAACCTAAGATCAAGTGGGGTAACTTAACCAAGGACAAAGCTCAGAAGTTAGGGGAGAAGTTGTTGGTTATGAGGGCCTGGATGAGTAGGGGAGACGTGTCTAGTATGTGGTTCACAACAGCGAATTGCATTAGGATAGCTGCTAGAGAGGTCTTAGGGTTACAAAGGGCTCTCCTAGGGGTCATAAAAGGGACCGGTGGTGGAATCGAGAGGTTCAAGGTAAAGTGGAAGCTAAGAAAAATGCTTATTTGAAGCTCGTGGATACTACGAATGAGGAGGAAAAAAGGTCTTATCGGGAGTGTTACAGAAAGGCAAAGAAAGAGGCGAAGTTAGCAGTTACAATGGCTAAGAATGCGGCGTTTGCTCATTTGTACAAGCAGCTCCAGGGCAAAGGCGGGGACAAGAAGTTTTACCGGTTGGCCAAGGTGAGGGAGAGGAAAGCCCCCGACTTAGACCAAGTCAAGTGCATCAAGGACGAGGATGGAAAAGTGTTGATGGACGAGGCACTTATTAGGAGAAGATGGCAGACATACTTCCATAGACTTTTGAGCGAGGAGGGGGATAGACGCATTGTGCTGGGTGAGTTGGAGCACTCTGAGAGTCGGCGGGATTTTGGGTACTGTAGGCGGATTACGGTAGATGAGGTGGAAGGGGCGATGCGTAAGATGCGCAAGGGCAGAGCGACGGGGCCAGACAAAATCCCGGTGGAATTCTGGAAGAGCGCAGGGCGAGCAGGTTTGGAGTGGCTCACTGGGCTGTTTAATGTTATTTTTAAGACGAAGAAGATGCCCGAAAAATGGAGGTGGAGCACGATGGTTCTTCTTTACAAGAACAAGGGTGATATATAAAATTGAAACAATTATAGGGGTATCAAGCTGTCGAGTCACACTATGAAGGTTTGGGAGAGGGTGGTGGAGGCCAGGGTGAGGAGGTGCGTGTCTATTTCCGAGAATCAGTTTGGATTCATGCCGGGGCGTTCGACTACGGAAGCGATTCATCTAGTATGGAGATTAGTGGAGCAGTACAGGGAGAGGAAGAAGGATTTGC